CCACAGATTGAAAAAAAAAAAAACCCACCTCATGCTTGCATGCCCAAGATAGTCCTCCTCTAAGTACATTTTAACAAGACAATACACACCTTCTCAGCAGCTACAACATAACAGAATCCTGTTCTCCTACCCCTAAGGACTCCACATTCCCCTCAACAGCCAGGCATTGGGGCCTCCTCCCCCATTCATGCTCCAGCCTTCCACAGGAAACTTTCCAGTTCCCCAGAGACTCAGAAAATATTTTGCCCCAGACGTCCTGGCCGACATAAGTTATCAGTGGTCAAATGTGTCAGGGCATTGTCCGCCAGGCCTTCATAAACAAACCAAAGGCACCCTGAGAACTTGAAATAACTTCTCAGCAAGGGAGTTCTAAGGGCCAGATTTCGAAAGAATCACACACATGTTCAGGCGAGATTTTCCACCTCCTATCATCCCACCCTGCCACCATCAAGCACCCCAGCAGGAAAGTGCCCAGAAGACTAGGACAGGCACTCTGGGGACCCACCAACCCAGAAAAGAATGAGAGGCACCATCCGCACCCAAGGAAACCGCTGCTTGACTCCTAACTAAAAAAAGAAGTCACAAGACCCCCGTGGGCAGGAGATGGAAGCTCTTCCTGCTTTGATTCCCTCTTCCTTCTTCCCCTCTGGGGGTGAGATCTGAGCATCAGGGATGGGATCCCATGGAGAGACTCCCACACCAGCCCTATCTGAAACCCACTTGGCTGGAGAGCCCTTGGAGTGCACAAAAAGCAATTCCACAGCAGCTCAAAGGCCCTGATGAATCCAGCTGCAGGGAATTGTGAGAGAAAAGTGGTCAGCAGAGCTGGGGCCTGGAAAGGTTTTCTACCAGATTCCTGGCAGCCACAGCACCCCCCCCCCAGTCCAATTCCTGGAGGAGCCTGGTCCACTAAATACTTGGGGGCTCCCAGCAGACCCTGGAAAGAAAGTGGAAAGGCATTCATGGGCCAAGGTTTATCCTTGTTTTGAAATCCAGGCAACCACTTGGCACAGGGGCTGGGGGAGTAAGGGGCATGAATGCTGCCCTCCCCTCTCCCTCCTTCCTCCACCCTGCCGACCTCGGGAGCTATTGTGGCCCTCTGCAGCTGGAGTGCAGAAGGCAGATGGTTACACCCGCCACCCAGGGAGGAGCTTCCAAACCTGCAGTTTTCTCCAGGTTTAGGAGGGCGGGCAGGCACTTAAAACCGTTCCTTGTGAGCTTTGGGGCAGATGACAAGGCAGCATTCTGGTTCATGTAAATCCACTGGGCGATTGGATTTAATTGGCTGGACAAGCTTTTACTAAGTGACTATTATGGGCCAAGGGAAACCCCCCCCCCCACCTGGGGACACAAAGACAGAAAAATAAAAGCAGTCCCTGCCCCCCAGGGTGCTTCCACTCACTCTGCATCAGCCATCCTCAGGCAACTAACTGGACGCTTAGAAATGCCCACTCAAGACAAGACTTCCCTCTTTTGGAATATTTCTTTTTTTCCCCCTTATCTCTACAAAGCCCTTATGAAAATCGATTAGGGAAATGGTTAAGCAATTTGTGACAGAAAAACATAGGAAGATTGTATCACACTGTAACAAATACAAAAATTCAAAAACCCCTGGGGCAGACCTCTTCCCACCCATGCTGAAGGAAGTCAACAGAATTAGGGAAACAAAATCCCTAACAATGAGAACATAATTAAAAAGAAAAATCAAAAAATGAATGGCTAATCTCCACCTCTAAAAAGACAGGAAAAAAGTCACCCTCTTTCTTTTGTTGGAGATGTGGAGAACTACAGGTGTAGAAGGCTAGACACACGCCGCCCAACATGGCTGACGTCATGACAATAACAGCACACATTCCTATGTTGCTTTATGATTGGTAAAGTTCTTTATAAACATTGTCTCGTTTTATCCTCACACCAGCCCTGGAAAGTTTATTATCCCCATTCTCCACTTGAGCAAACCAAGGCAGAGGTTGACTTGGCCAGGGTCACCGGGCCAGTAAGGCTTCACTGCCACATTAGAACTCAGGTCCTCCTGAATCCGGAGGCCCTACTACCTCTATGGAATCATCTCCTCCTCCTCATTCTCCCCCTACTCCAACTCTTCCAGCTTCTCCCTCTTACCTCCCCCTCCTCTTAAGGCTTTTCCTTTTCTTCTTTCTTTCCCTCCCCAATTTTGGAATAGTTCTACAAGAAAAGGCACGGCATAGAGGCTGAACTGTGGCTGATGTGTTAATACGAGATAACGTCATCGTGAGCCAGGAAGGTAGGAAACGAGAGCTTCCATCCATGTCCCCAAATTATCTTTGAAAAGGACTGGGGAGCATCGAGAGCCGCTGCCAGGGCTGCTTCTGGAGAGACCCAGAGCACCGCTGCTGGGAAACCGTCCGGGCTTTCCCCAAGCTCTGCGCCACATCCCCGCCTAACATCGAGGCTTACCCGGCTAATCGCGGACACCATTCGTCCAGAGCCCACACATCCCACGCCAATAAGAAGCGCGGCTGGAGGATCCGTTCTCTGTTCTCGGGCTCCTAGACAACGCTACAGAAGTGTCACTGCCTTTCCTGAAAAGGAGCAGCCGGGCCCCAGGATAAACAGTCCTGACGGAGTCAGAGCTACAGAGGAGCTCTAACCCTAACCAGCAAAAAGCAATCCCTCAAGCCTGATGCTCAGGAAGCAAGCTCCCTTCCCCCGAGCTACGCCGGGGAGCCAGGCACCCCCATCTCCCTCAGGAGGGCCCCCCAAAGGCTTGTTCGAGAATCCCCTGAAAGGGCTAAGGCAGAATGGCCAGTCACAGGAGCCTGATCAGCAGCAATGAGGAGAAGGTGCCTGGACACAGACACAGACACAGACACGCTGCATGGGCACACACAGACGTACAGACTCCCATTTAGGCTATTTAGGGAGAGGACTGGCTGGGCCAGAGTCTGGCACACTAGCCTCCTCTGGACATCTTCCCAAGATAGTGGGGAGGCAGAGGTGAGGCAGGGAGGGGACGGTGCATAGATGGAAGACTTTGGACCCAGGGCAGAGGACATTGTTAATGCCAGAACCACGCTCTGGAGAGGAGATCTGGGCTCTTTAACACGAGGGGGTTGGCCCGAATGGTCTCGGAGGTCCTTCCCAGCGCTAGATTTTGGTCCTATGCCCGTCATGACATGCCCCATCCTTCGGGATAAACCCCTTCTGTCTGTGCCCCACGCAGCCAAGTTCAGCGTCTCCTCCTCAAATCTGAAGGTTCCCTGCCCTCTGTCCAGAGGAACGCTGGTGTCTGTAGATGTCTGTTGCGGTCAGAATGAAGCCAACTGATAGCCCCCCACCAAATAAAAGCAGGTGGCCTCCCCCCACTTCCAGCAGAGGGGAGGGGGCTGCTGGGCTCCGGAGAGTGCCCCCTCAGCTGGTCCATCCCGAGCCCCCAACACAGATTCCACAACTAGCAGTGTTCTGCAGATGAAGCAGGGCCAGTGTTGGACCTGGAGCGTGGGGCCAAAAGAGGCCAGAGCACTAACAAACAGCCCTCACATTCTCAGGGCTTCTGGGAGGGGCGAGAGCAGCCCCTGGGCCAGAAGCTGCTCAAAGCCAGTGTCTTCCCCCCCGCCCCCCAGGGGCAAGTAGGTGGTGCAGTGGATAGAGCACCGGCCCTGGATTCAGGAGGACCCGAGTTCAAATCCGGCCTCAGACACATAACACTTACTAGCTGTGTGACCCTGGGCAAGTCACTTAACCCCACTGCCTAGCCAAAAACAAAAAAACAAACAAAAACAAAAAAAGCCAGCGTCCCCAGCTCGAGTCACACTTTCCAGGGAGGAACTTCTACCCGCCAACACAGATGAGGGCCTCTTCTAGACCCAGGCTCAGAGGCTGCCTGGACCCAAGGTCCTCTTGACACCCCCCCCCCAGCCCCTCCCCAAGGCAGAAGGGTTGCAGCCCTGTGGGGGCCTGGGGCCAGGCCAGCTCCTCCCCCACCTCTTCACCCACACTTCTGGTGACTCGCCCACCAAGAAGCCTTCACCAGTACAGGAAGGCTTCCCTTCGCAGCACAGTCCAGCCCACTCAGACCCCGATCCTCTTCCCTCCCCCCCCATTTTTTATTGGGGGGAGGGGAGAGACAAGAGGGAAAGAAGCCTTCTTCCATAGCAGAAGGCCCCAGCAAGCGTGCTCTGGCAGTCCCCTCTCCCCAGAAAGGCTGTTTGCTGGCTCCCTCCCCACAGAGCCATACCTGCCACCTAAGGTAGGGCCCCACGCACTCCAGACTCTGGGGGCCCCCCTACACAGGACAGATGACCACCAGGCTCTCTTTGGAAACCAGAGACAGGATATGCCCAAACCTAGCCCAAGCCCTGGGAAGGGCCAGCATCCACCAGCTCCCCTGCCAGGCCCTTCTCTCACACCGGGAGAGCTCAGTCCGGAGCACAGGGCCCAGCAGCTGGCTATAACCCTCTGCCTCTGGGGTCTTTTGTGAGAACTCGGCACTCCCACCTTCCTCTTCCCATCATTCCCACACAGCCTGCTTCCCACACACACCAAAGCATGCCAAAAGGCAAAGATCTAACCTCTCGGATTTCAGAGGTCCCTGCCTGCCTGGCCACTGGCCTAACTCGCACCACCTGACCATCAACAGGCACCTGGAAGCCACCAGAGGCTGTGAGACAGAGACAATCAAGGCACCTTCTCAGAGCGAAGTCAGCTGTGAGCCACAACAGACGCTGGAGTGAGGGCCCATGAAAAGAGAATTCTGACCGTGTTTATTGTTGGGTTGATTAAAAACTGTAGCCAAGACCTCGTCCTCAATAAAAAGCACACATAGCGTGAGAGCAGACTCAGTATAGACCCCAGAGCAGGGCAATGTCAAAACTCCCGGTAAATGGGAGGGAGCCCTCACCAAGGGCTCTGACAGTAGCGATCCCCACCAAGAAGTCAGCTACGAGTCTCCGAGGGTGATGGCCAGAGGGCCCCACGAGGAGTCTGCAGGGCCACCAAGGCTCTCCCTCCAGCACTCTCACCTGCTCCAGCAGAGATGACACTTCCCGTGTCCCAGTGCAGTTTCTGAACCAATGCTTTCGGGTCGATCGTGGTCCCAGCAAAGATGTCCGACGTCACCAAGCCCCAGTCCTGGTGGCAGAAAGGGACGATGAGCCGCCCTTCAAGGCCCCCCGGCAGCAAAACTCAGACTAACCTAG